CTTCCTCTCTGTACAAAATCAATAAAATATATTTTAAAAAAAAGAAGAAGAAAAAGAAAAAGAAAAAGAAATTGGGACTCAAAAGAACTGCTGGCCCAGAAAGGAACTCACTACAGACTGATTCATTGGCCTCTCAGCATAACCATTATGGCCTGTCTCAGTTTCGGTTCTTACAAGGGTATTTCTTGGATCACAAGATCTCACGCATCTAGAGGAAATAATGAACAACATAAACTGATAAACAAAAACAGACCCAGAGAAAGAGAAGCAGCGATCAGATTCTCAAACCTCAGAGGGAAAGTAGGGGAGGGTGGGGGTAAGAGGAAGAGATCAACCAAAGGACTTGTGTGCATGCATATGGGCCTAGCCAGTGGCCATGGACAACAAGGGGGTGGGGGCATATGTGGGGAGGGGTTTGGGATGGGAATGGGGGGATGAAGACAATTATGTGATACCATAATCAATAAAATCAACCAATAAATAAAAATCAATGGAAAAATATTCTCACTCCTCCAGTGATGATTAAATAAAATATTTTTAATATAGAAAAGTCCTACTGATAAAACACTTAGTTGCTACTACAAACAAAATAAAATAATTTAAGCCCTAGCTGGTTTGGCTCAGTGGATAGAGCGTCAGCCTGCAGACTACAGGTTCCCAAGTTGGATTCCAGTCAAGGGCACATGCCTGGGTTGCAAGCTGGACCCCCAGTGGGTGGCATGCAGGAGGCAGCAAATCAATGATTCTCTATCATCAGTGATGTTTCTATCTCTCTCCTTATCCCTTCCTCCCTGAAATCAATAAATATATATTAAAATAATTTAATTATGAAATAACTAGTCATTTCAAAGCTATGGTGACTAAAGTAGTTAGAGAATGTTAGTTCATTCATTCTATACGTCTCTGAAGAACTAAGAAATGGTAAAGAATGAAAATAATCAGTTAATGCATGAAATCACACTTGGGAAAAATACTCTTTCTCCCAATAAACAATTATTGAGTGCCGACAATCATTCTAACTCCATATTACAAACTGCTAACAAACTGCTACCAAGACAAGTCTACAGCCCCTGCCACTTAACAAACATGGCACTTATCAGCATCTATCATACACGTGAAGAAACAAACACTAGAGATACTTCTATGAACAAGACAACCATGGGTCCATCCTGGATTCTAGTGGAGGGAAAAGGAAAAGAAAAACCGATGAGTTAGAAATTACAATGAGAAAGCAAGGGCCAGGAAATGACACCGGGGACTCTTCTGGCTGAGGTGGTTGGAGAAGGTCCCCATGAGGAAGGGACATTTATGCCAAAGATGCAGAGGAGGCAGAACTGGGCAGTTCTGGGGGAAGAGCACGCCAAGTGCGAAGGAGGAAGTGGGAATGAGTCAGAGAGCAGAAAGATGGCAGGAAGGGGCAAGAGGCAGCAGGCGAAGTCAGAGAGGGAGGCAGAAACGGCTCACACAGCCCACCAGCCCACCACAGGCAGGCGGGAAAGCTGGGAGGGGATGGCAACGGCAGCGCAATGGAAAGGGGTTTCTTGTTTAAGGATTTTAAACAAGAAAGCAACATGATCTGATTTGCATTTTAATAAAAATAATTCTTTCGGTTGTGTGAAGAATGGATTCAAAAGAGTCAGAGGGGCCCTAAGAAGGTGCTTCCTTGGTTAGAACAGAATCCTGCACACCAGCAGGTTTCTGGTTTGATTCCCATTCAGGGCCCGTGCCTAGACTGTGGTTTGGATCCCTGGTCTGGATGCATACAGGAGGCAACTAAGAGTCTGTCTGTCTGTCTCTCTCTTTCTCTCTCTCTCTCTCTGTCTCTCTGTCTCTCTGTCTCAGGAGGCAACTGAGTCTCTCTCTCTCTCTCTCTCACTCACTCACACACACACACACACACACACACACACACACACACACACAGGAGACAACTGAGTGTCTCTTTCTCTCTCTCATACAGGAGGCAACTGAGTGTCTGTCTGTCTCCCCCTCTCTCTCTCTCTCTCTCTCTCTCTCTCTCTCTCTCTCTCTTGTCAATAAACATATCCTTAGATGAGGATTTTTTTTTTTTTTTTTAAGAGGCAAGAGGAGGTCTTTGGACATAGCTGGGAGACTAGCGCAGTAATACAGGTAAAAATGGCAGGGATTTTGACTGAAATGCTAGGCGTGGACCACTGATGAGAAAGGAGTGGGTGAATTCCTGGTGCATTTTGGAGGCAGGAGAACTGACTGGATGTGGAGGATGAAGGATAAGGAGGAATCAAGGATGGACTAGGTTTCTGGCTTGAGCAACCAGGCAGATGACGCTGTCATATTTTGCAGTGGGTGGTGCAAATGACTGAGATTTCTTTTTCTTCTGTGTTCATTCCCACCCAAGGTTACCAAAGATGTTCCAACCACCAAAGCCAGTGTGCCCTATGGTACCCAGGGTCCCTTCATTAACCACTTGCTCCCCCCTGCAACTCCATTCTCGCTTGGTTTCCAAGACACCACACTCTCCCGTGGTCTTCTCTTAGCCATCCAGCCCGCTTCCCGGGGGCTAGCTCTGTCCTTGGCCCCTGCTAGTTCCGTCAGGGCACTATCTCTTGGTGACCTCATCCTCGCAAACCACAGTTTTCAAGTCTCCCCCATCTATGTTTCCAACCAGAATGTTCTCACCCCCAGGACCACCTCCCGCTGTCTCCTGCCCATTTCTATTGAGATGCTTCCACAGCAGCTTAAACTCAACGCATCCAAAAGTAACTCTGTCATCTTATTACTCCCAGATTCCCATCCCTCATCCCATATTCTTCCTCTGGGAAAAGCCCCATTTTCCAAAAATACACCCAGCTTCCCAAACCCCAAACCCTAGGACTATCATACACTCCCTCTTCCAAGTCCTCGGCAAATCAAATCCACAAGCCCCATCAATTTTATTTTCTAATTGGCTCATGTAAATGTCCTCTCCCCATATCCCGCTGCTTTCATTCAGGGCTTTACCTTCCTATGGATTATTACAACCGCCCTCTGGTGAGCCTCACCCCACTCTGACCCAGCCTTTACACCTGACAGAGAAAGCCCTCCTTCCTACAGACGTGAGGGCAAAGTCCAGCCTCAGGAGTGGCCAGCAGGGTCCTCCGTGAGTTAGTGCCTCTGGCTGGCTGCCCTGCCCCTACTCCTACCAACTCTTATGCACTCCCAGGCTGAGGTAGGAGGTTTCTTTCATATCTACTCAGCTTCCCCGGGCCTGAACTTTCGTCTGAAGTGATGACTCTCCTAAGAGCACACCATTATCGAGAGACTTCTTACGTTGCTTCTCCCGCTGGGCAGGAATCTGCTTCCTACAATACTTTTGGTGCTTAATAAATAAAAGGCGCAAAAAAAAAAAAATGTTTGTTGACTAACTGAACCTGGCTTGAGCTCAACAAGGTTTTCCACCAGACATGAACTGTTATATACAGTATCCATGATCAGGCAAGAAGAAAGCGTATTTTTCTAAAATAAACTAATAACAACACCTGCTGACTTTCCCATACCAGCATGCATCTTTCATTACTGAACAGCTAGGTATGGCCAAGCTGTATGTCGCTATTACTCTGATGATCTTTTTGTATTAATATCCACTAAGATTACGTTTTTTGATTTTTTCAGTTTTACCACGTTTAACACCCTGGGTTTAAGATCAGCCCACTGCCTTGTCCTCTATAGCAATGTCTGACCTCTCATGCATAATTCTGCCTGAAGCACACAGATTTCTGATAAACCTCAGACTTGGGCTATTTCCTACTTGTCTTAAAACACAAATGACACCACCATCACCGACCCCCACCCCCAAGAAATCCCCCAAAACAACATAGAAAAACACACCACACTTTTAACCTTTTTTTTTTTTTTTTTGTCTCAGAAGAAAACATTTATACAGAATGAATTGTATCTTATCCGTCAGCCTCCAGAGGGTGGGGGAACTTTTACAATTATACTTTACGGCCCCTGGAATCATTGCTTTAATTCTGTATTTCCTGGTTCCGGCAATTACGTTAAGGACTTTAAAAAAAAAAATTTCCGTGAAAGAAAGTAATGAGTAAACTAGTATTCAGATACTCGTATTCATGATGCAACTGGCATTCTTGCTGAACAAAAGAAATGAAAGTGTGTGCTCCTTAGGAGCTGGCCTCTGTCACTATTACTCAAGCACATCCTGGGACGGCAGCAAGTTCTGAGATTTCACCCCACAAAACCACCATCCAATCCGCACACCGAGGCAGAGGTTCCCCCAAGTCTGACCCACAACATTTGTCAAGGAAAAACATTTGATTTAAAAAAGAAAAGAAAAATGTGCTTAAAACTAAAAAATGTCCCATGTCTTGTCAAACTAGGGTGACTGTGTCTGGCACCACTGGACCAAAGACTACGGATTTGAGCAAAGTCTCCTCAGCCAGGTCGCCTCAGTGGCATGCCCGGGTCCCTGCATCCTCACCCCGAACCCCCTCCTGGCATCTCCCCCCGGCGCCCCGCAGGTCCGGAGGTGAGCCCGGGGACCCGGGCTCCTCCATCAGAGGCTGGACACAGGCGGGAAGGAAACGCACAAAGCCAAGCAAACCGCCTCTGAAGACCCGAAAAGGAGCCGACAACAAAGGGCCCGGCGATGGGAAGCCTGCCACTCCCCAAAGGTGCGGAGCCAGAGCCCGGGCTCCCGACCCGGCTCCCAGGCGGGCCCGGGCGCCCGGGCCACCGCTCGCTCGGGGGGCTCGGCGGCGGCGGCGCGGAGCAGGGCCGCTCCCCGCGACCCCGGAACCCGGCAGGTAGGCGCCCGCCGCCCCGACACGCGGGGACCCGGGGCGGGAGGAGGGGGAGGCGCCGTACCCCCCGGCCTCCGCGGCCGCGCTCCCCGCCGGCCGATTCCCGCCCCGCGCGCAGGCCGCGCCCGGCCCCCGCCCCGGCGCCGGCGCGCAGGGCCCGCTCCCCGCGAGGGGCGAGCGCAGCCCGCGTCCCGGCCCGCCCGCCCGCCCGGCCGCACTCACACAGCCCGAGCGCCGCCGCCAGCACAGACCACAGGCAGCGCCGGCGGTCCAGGGTCGCCGTCTCCGCCCCGGCCCCCGCGGGCGCGGCCATCGTCGTCCGCTGCAGCCCCGCGGCCGCGCACCGGGCCCGGCTGCCTGCCCTTCGCTCCGCTCCGCGCAGGGCGCCGCCTCGCCAACGCCGCGCCCAGGGCACCTCCGCGCCGCGCCCCCACTCGCGGCCCCGCCACCGCCGCCCGCCCTGCCGGCCCCGCCCACCCGCCCGCTCATTGGTCGGCTCCGCGCAGCGGGAAAGACGCTATTGGGGGGCACGGGCTGCCCATCACCCCCTCTGGTCAGGCGAGGCCGCGCCTCCCGGGTCCCACCCAGGCTCGCGTCCCGGAGGGGAGGCCGGCACCGCGCACCCTCCGCCCGCGGCTGCCCGCCCGCCGCCCCGCCGCCCGGCCCCGCCGGGGTCCTCGCCGCCCCTCAGGTCCCAGTCCCCGGTCCCCATTGTCTCCTCCGGGGGCCTTGGCCGGGGTCCCGCCTCCGGGCCAGCCCTGTGGGTTCCTGTGAGCCTCAGCCAGGGAGCGGCAGTTCGGTGACGAAGTTAATGGGGTGCGGCGGGAGACACCCCGCTTCAGGGGTCCCCACCCCCCTCCCCTGCCCTGCCCCAGGCTGGTCCCCCGCGCGGCCTGGGCGATGCCTGAGCGGCTGCATGGAGGGGTCTGCGGGCTGGAGAAGCACCATCTTGCTGACTCCCCTTGGGGAGCCCCTTTCGGCCTGAGGGGGGCCGGGAACCGGGGACCCTCCCGCCACCTGGAGACAAAGGGAGGTGCTTGGGGTGTGGGTCGCTTTTGCAGACAAAACGCCCCTCCGTTTGTCAATGAGAGCGGATGGGGACGCTCCTCCCCGGACTCCCCGCCGCCCGCCGCCCGCCGCCCGCCAGCGCGGTCCCCGGGCCGGAGCGGGCCCGGCGCCCGGGTGCCCGGAGGGACTGAGTGTGCGGAGGGGCCCCCGGAACGGCTGACAGAGGGGAAGGGGGACACAGAGAGGAGGATGCGGGCGAAACCCAGGCGGGAGGCAGAGGGACAGGATTGGGGAGTCGGTGCAGGAACAGAGTGGCAGGGCCGGGATGCAGCGGGTGGTGAGATTCCGCAAGAGAAGGGCATCGAGGAAGCTGGGCCGCTCCCCAGCGGGAGTGGGGAAGGGCGCCCCCGGCTCCCCGGTGTCCAGGACCAAACCCCGGGCCTGGGCTGAGCAGAAGCCGAGGCGCTGGGCCCGGGCAGAGACTCCGGGCCAGGCCCGCAGGTGGCCCCGCCGGTCAGCTCAGGCCGCGGCAGAAGGCGGGCGTGCACCGGAGCACAGGCTTCCGCGATAAGCAATGCCAGGCCATCGATAAGCAACGCCCGGCCATCGATAAGCAATGCCCGGCCATCGATAAGCAATGCCCGCCCGGCCAGCGGAGAAATTGGCGGCTTGGCGGAGGGATAGGTGAGTGTGGGCGGAGCCAGTCTGGAGAGGTTGCAAAGACAGAACACCAGGCCAGGTGTTCTCACTGTGCTCTCCTTGCGGGGTAGCTTCTGACCCTTCTGTCAAGAGAGTAAATGGAAAAAACAAAACCAAAACCCCTGACTCCATTCACGACTGTTCGTCTGAGGATCGTCCAACAACCCTCCTGCTTCAGACACCTCCTCCTCTGCCCGGGACACGCCTCTTTCCAGCCGGAGCAGTGGAGGCCGCACGTGGGATGGGAGGAGGACTCCAGCAAGGTCAGAAAGGTCCCTGTTGAAGGGCGGCTACCTCTGAAAGCACGAGCTGATTGGGGAGAGTTTCCCCGCAGAATCAGTAATAATTCTTGTTGTCACAGGCAGAGGCCTCTGGCTGGTAGGTACTGTTACCTGTGCCTGGCCGTGGTCTCACTGGCTGCCTGCTCCCTCCAGTCCACACTGAGAACCTCTGGGAACCTCTGGGGCTTCTGCTTTCTCTTTCCAGACATAAGAGAAGGGACACTCAGGGTCACCTGGTGCTGAGGAATGCATCTGAGCAGGATTTTCTGGAGCTGGAATGAGCGGGACAGTAGGAAGAGGGTGACAGGCACCCAGGTTTCCAGCAGATCTTCGAGACTGTGGCGGAATCCTCTCCACCCTCTGTGTTCTCACTGGCACTCCCTCCCCCCATGTGTTCTGAGGTTTGTTGACAGAACTGGGTGGCTGTGGCGCATGGACAGTGATAACCAGAGGCTCCTGGAACACAGGATTGGATCAGATAGAGTTAAAGGTGAATGCCAGTAATGGTAAGATATGTACACATATAATACCTTAATAAAGAAAAAAGAAAAGAAAAAGGTGAATGCCAGACCCCACGGAGAAAGAAAGGGTGGCCTGAAGCTGAATCCGTTTCATTGATATTGCTATAGAAAGAACATCAGAATCCAGGAGAAGGGTTGCATTTCTATTTAAAATGTTTGGAAATCGGAAAGAGCTATTGGCTCTGATGTCTCTGGGCACAGAGGCACCGCTGGGCCACCAGAGTCACGGGGTCCTTGGGAGGGGCTCATTGTCGTGGGAGATAGGTCACCAGGCTTCCTTGTTGGCTGTGCCTGGAGACCCTGTCTGCCTGTGCCCTGTAACCATCTCTGTCCCACATCCCCTCCCCGGGGAAGGATGCTCCTGCAGGGGTCAGGGGTCACACATATTCCTCCCACCCAGGAGAGGTTTCTCCCCACGACAGGCACTGTACATCTTGAGTTTTGTTGCTGTCAGTCTTCCTGCATCTCTGTTGTGAGGGGCAAATGAGATCCTCTCGGGGAGCCTGCAGAGTAAAAAGCAAACTTTCTTTCAATCACTAGAGAGAAGTTGGAGGAAGAAAAAGAAAAAGAAAAAAATGATAATCAACTCTAGTAACAGAGCCCTCTTAATGTCTACAGAGACTGGAGTTTCCAGAAACTGAGGTGGTTACATTGTTTTTACGTAAGTTCTATTTTGTAGTTTCCTCATTCTGGGGAAATATAAACTTAAGTTTTCAGGGCACATTTGTTAGGTTTGGGGAGTAAACTATTTGGGCCTCTAGAACTAATTAACATTTTAAAGTGCATTTATTATCCTCTTTGCCTTGAGTTCTAAGAAGAAGGAGAGAGTAGGAAGGGAAGCAGAGGACAGTTTCAAATAAAACCAGGGCGGGGCTGAATGGTAGAGCTCCACGCTGTGATTTACTGGTGTCAGACCACAGCGAGAAAGGTGTCTGGCACAAAGAGCTTCTAAGTGTCTGTTGAATAAACGAGCCAGGGAACAAATGAATAAGCTGACAAATGAATGGCATCTGAAATAAAATAAATGAATAGGTCTATTTAGATTAGTCACACTATTTATTGTTTCCTAACTGGCTACTTATTGCTAGAGTGACACTTTATAATTACCGATTGTCCAAGTACCAACATTTACATTGTTAATGAATTTGGAATAAATTACAGTCATTCAGCAATTATTCATTGAGTGCTGGCTTTGCTAGCATAAACCTCAACGCTATTTTTAAAATTTACATATAATAAGCAAGCCAAGCCTTAAAGATATTGGACAATTGGGCACCAATTATAACCAATTATAAAATTGGTTGCTAATTACAGAATTCAGTGTCGGTGTTGGAGTCTTAGCCTCCAGCAAATTGTGATTAAAGGAGACACTACAATTGATTTCAATCTGTTAAAGTATCTTTTTTCTTTCTGGAAAGGTTAGAGTTTGGGGTTTATGCAAATGAAAAGAGATTTTCCAGCTGAAGAGAACAGTTTGAGTGAAAACAGAGATGGGAATTCCCAAGGCTGGAAAGATGGTGCTTTGAATACCATGATAACAGACAGGGGCTAGAAGCAGACCATTCAGCTATTACTGGAAACTCCAACAACCAGAACTCAGTAGAGTCTGGAATCTGGCTGCCACAGGCATTGCCACACACGCATGCAATTTGTTAATCACGAATATACATAGAATTATGTCTTTTTATATAAGAGGTAAATAGTACACCAGCAACGACATCGTTTTCTTTTGTGCCACTGATTTGCAAATATCAAAAGGGAAAATAAAATAGAAAACCGACTATAGAGTATTGAGAACAGCTAAAGATAAACACCATTATAAAAACAACCACTTGGGGGCGCGGGACTAAGTAGCTTCACATTCCTTTATCATGGAGGCGAGGGTGCAGCACGCCGGCTCGTTGGTCTAGGGGTATGATTCTCGCTTAGGGTGCGAGAGGTCCCGGGTTCAAATCCCGGACGAGCCCGCCTTTTTTCTTTCCCCTTCCTTAAAGAATTTAACATTTCTAAATAAATTGCCTTTAGACGACGTCAATACATCTTATAAATACGGATTGTTGCAAAACACGAAGATGAGGCTTTCTGAACTGAGAGCGCACTTTACATTAAAATACCATTAAAAGGTGTAACATGAAAACATTACAGACGCGGCCAGCTCCGGAGTGCAGCGCGAATGCTGCGGGCGCACAGTTCCGACCTGGGCAGCCTGCGGGTGGGGGAGCCTTACCCTCGCCCAAGCCGGGCACGTCCACCGCGTGGGTCCTGCTAACTCAGGCGCCTTCTGCTCCTGTTAGGAGGGGCTGGGGTGCCGCCGGATTCTGCACGAGGCATCTCTTTTGCAAGCACGTGTGTTTTGAAGAGTTATAAGCAATTGTCATCCCTCACGGACGCAAGGCAATCATATATTTTTGTACGAATCGACCTCCTTCGATGCCCTGCTTCGCAAGATTACGGTGATCAACGTTCGAGCTCTGGGCTGGAGTTGTTGAATATAAACCGCTAAAAGGCCTGAGTGAAAAAGAAAAAAAGCTTTTAATTTATGGGTTTAAGAAAAAATTAATAAGAGCCTGGGCTCGTCCGGGATTTGAACCCGGGACCTCTCGCACCCGAAGCGAGAATCATACCCCTAGACCAACGAGCCGCTCTCGGCTGACGGGCTCGAGGCTCGTCCCTTCAGCCTCACCCCGCCCCTCTCCTTCCGCCTTCCGCTTCATTCCCACTCCGAGGCGGCCGGCGACCTTCTCGCCGCCCGGCGCTCCCGCCCCGACGCTCATTTCGCGCCGCCCGCACCCGGTCCGTTCGGGAGGCCGCCGCCCGGAGCCCAGAGCCCGGATCGCCGGGCCTGTCCACGGCGGGGCCCGCGCGCTGGAACCCGGCCGGGAGGGTGCGGGCGGAGCCTCCGGGCGGCGCCGGGCCGCGGGGAGCTCGCCGCCCAGGGCTTCCCCGCCCCCAGCTTTCGCCCCTGGTGGGGGCTCGCCCCACTCTCCCCGGAGACCACCCTGAGTGCGCCCCCGGACCAGGGCCCGCCCCACCCGGTGCCCGCTGGTGGCTGGGTCTGGGTACGAGGGCGAGAGAGGGACACCCTTCTCCCGGCTCGGAAAGTGATGGGAAGAAAAATCTCCAAGAATCAACAGCCAGCTTTCCCCTAACGTGCAGGGTGGGCTATGCCTTCTGTTAAGCTCTTTGAGCGCATGGAGCCCACTGGGCAGTCACAGCAATCGGCCCGGGGGTGCAGCTGGTGCCCCCATTCTGTAAGGGGGGGGGGCGGGCCCCGAGACCTTAGGACCCTCCGGAGGCCACGGGCCAGAGGCGGCCTGGGGAAGGGACCGCCGAGGCAGAGCTGGTCTGTGCTGCGGAGGAGGGGGCAGAGGTGGTGCTCTGGTGGCTGGGAGGAAGAGGGGGAGAGAAAGGAGGGAAGAAGGGAGGGAAGGGAAGCGGAAGAAGAAAGAGGGGAGGGGAGGAAGGGAGGAAGGAAGAGAGGAGGAGCGGCGGCAGTGGGAAGGACCTCTGTCCCGCATCCCCACCCCGCCCCCCAACCCGGCTGCAGGAGACGGACCCCGAGGCCGGGCCCAGCGGAGGGAGTCCCGGCCTGGGCTCCATGGCCTGGTCTGCCTTAGCCTGAGCGGCACCTTCTTCTCTGGCCCTTCCCCTCCTCCCCGCGGCCTGTGGTCAGGGCAGAGGCTCCCCTTTCCGGAGCCTCTTCCAGCTCAGCCTTCCCTCCGGGGCAGCGGGACGCCCGGTCCGCTCACCTGCACCCGGGCGGCCTCTGGCTGTGCGGGGCCTGCAGGCGGCCTGTGGGTGAGGCCCTGATGGACTGCAGCCCCCCCAAGGCAGGGAGGGCAGACTGGCGTCGCCCCTGAACCCCACGTCCTGACCCGAACAGAAACTTGGCTCTGACTGGAAACGTGTGTCTTTTTTCCCCGACTCCAGTCTAACGTCCTACGACAGTTTCAGCTACTTTTAGGAAAAACATTTCTCTGAGTTTCCCCCACTGATCCTTTCTCTAAGGCTGATGGCATGCCTCCCTTTGCATTTTGCAATCACTAAATCTCCAGGAATGAACTTTCCTCAGGCCTCTCATTTTTCATTCAAAAGTTGCCCCTTGTTTTAAGTTTTGAGGGTGCATGCGGTCGTAAAGGTGACCGAGATCTAAGGTCTAGGTCAGATTCATTCCCCCTCCCTCCCATCTCAGTACCGGGTGTTGTATGCACACTGGGCCTTGCTCTGGGGGTTCCTGGGTGAACAGAGAGGACAGACTGAGGACAGTGCGTTACCAAAAAGAAAAAATGCACAGATTCATAGAGTAAGATCCTAATTTTGTAACAACCAAGAATTAGCAAGAAAAACAAAACTTGGACACATGCATTAAAAAACTAGAGGAAAATCCATTAAAAAACTAGAGGAAAATCCATAAAATATTGTTATCTCTGGTCACTGGAATTATGAATAGATGTTTACGCACTTAAAAAAATATATATATATATATTTAATTTTTTATTTTTTAAAAATATATTTTATTGATTTTTTTACAGAGAGGAAGAGAGAGGGATAGAGAGTTAGACACATCGATGAGAGAGAACCATCGATCAGCTGCCTCTTGCACACCCCCTATTGGGGATGTGCCTGCAACCAAGGTACATGCCCTTGTCTGGAATCAAACCTGGGACCTTTCAGTCCCCAGGCTAACACTCTATCCACTGAGCCAAACTGGTTTCGGCTACGCACTTAAAATATTATTTTCCTCCACAAATTTTCTAAAATAAAGGCAAAAAAAATCAAGGTAATTGGCCTTTATTATTATTTTTTATTTTTCAATTATAGGTGGCATAGAGTATTATATGTTTTAGGAGTACAACATAGTGGTTAGACATTTATAAACTTTTTGAAGTGATCCCCCTGTAAGGCTAGTACCCATCTGGCACCAAACATTGCTAAATCACAAAGAAAACGATGTTCTTACAACTCTGTGTCTCCTTGTGTTGGTGGAATGAAAGGAGACGGAGTGTGAGGCAACGCGGGGCAGGTCCTCACGTCCCTTCCTGCTCTGACTGCTCGCAGAGGCTGCAGGGAGCGGGCGGTCCCTCCTGAGGGGCAGTGCCTGGCACCACTGGGCACACAGGGCTCCTTAGACAGCCCAACAGCATGACTAGTGTTGGGTGTCCTGGAGTTTTCTTGAAGGGGAAGGCGTGCCTGCCTCGTGGTAGGACCCATCTTTGAATACCAGCCACATAATCATTGTAGGATTCTGTCTCTGAATGCTGGTTAAAGAGCTATTCTGTTCACGTTTTTCTTTACAACAGAAGCAGTTAGTGAGGTAACTGACATGAAAGGTTTGTCTTGATTTGAGAAATTTTCTCAAAGTTTTATATCAAATGACAGCGTGAAGGGGCAGAGGCGTTCATCACTCATGGGAGCACCCAGGGCCATCCGAGCCCAGTCCCACGGCTCCCTCTGCGTCCTGTGTGAAGGAAGTCTGAATGAGCCCGCTGGGCGTGGCTCCGTGGCTGAACGTGGACCCATGAACCAGGAGGTCACTAGTTCCATTCCTGGTCAGGGCAGGAGCCATGCCTGCAGGCTCTATCCCCAATAGGGGCGTGTAGGAGGCAGCCAATCAATGATTTCCTCTCATCATTCATGTTTCTCTCTCTCTCTCCCTCTCCCTTTCTCTCTGAAATAAATAAAAATATGTTAAAAAAAAAAAAGAAAAGAAAAGAAAGAGAAAGTGTGAATGAAGCAGTCTTCCTGATTGCTGCCTAAGACACAATGGATCTCTTCCCTGCCCAGCCATGAAAATTCTGGGATCAACCATGCAAGTGCGACACCTTCCAGGAAAGGAGAGCTGCAGGCAGCCAGGAGTTACAGTACTGGATCTATTTTGTGGGGGGAAAAGGTGAAGGAGCATGTGTCATGTGTCAAAATACCTTCCCACCTCCCCATTCCTTATCAGTTACAGTATTGGATCTATTTGGGGGGGGGGGGGGAAGAAAAGAAAAGAAAAAAAAAAGGCCATTCCCAGGGTTGTTATGTGACGGGGGAATTCACCTGAATGGGCTTCCTTTTTTGCTTTTTCTTTTCTCCCCCCCCCCCCATCCAAAATAGATCCAATACTATAACTAATAGGGAACGGGGAGGTGGGAAGGTATTTTGACACATGGCACACGCTCCTTCACTGTCACATTCTTGTCCATTGATATTGCTCCTTTCCCATCTGCAGCTATAAGGGACAGACTCTCCAGAAGAAAAACGGAGTTTTATTTCACACCCACACCCCGCACTTTCTGTTCTCCTCCTTTCCTTTTTGGTCACACACGCACAACCAGGTACACATTCACAGGACTCTTCTTTAAATATATATATATTTTATTGATTTCAGAGAGGAAGGGAGAGGGAAAGAGAGATAGAAACATCAATAATGAGAGAGAATCATTGATTGACTGCCTTCTTTATGCCCCTACTGGCTGGGGATTGAGCCCGAAACCTGGGCATGTGCCCTTGACCAGAATCAAACCTGGGACCCTTCAGTCCACAGGCCGATGCTCTAGCCCCTGAGCCAAACTGGCTAGGGACATTCACAGAATTCTTACCTGGCTCTGTGTGTGAGTGTACAAATGACCCAAAGACATGTATAAATAAAACCATGTATTGTTTAAGCGGGACACGTCTCTGTAGATGGTGGGTGACAGATAAACAGAAATATTTCATAGACACTCCATGGCTCCAGAACTCTGCTAAAATGCAAAGCCTATTACAGCACCAGTCCTCACTACGTTACCTGCTTTAGAAAATGCATTATATTTTTAAAGTTTTGAAAAGAAATATCCCAAATATTAACACGATCCTGGAGGCCGGAGAACTGAGAATGGGATGAAAGTTGAGGTACCAGTGGTGAGGAGATGATTTTTGAAGTTGGAGGAGAGTGTGTGGTCTCACCAACCTCCAGAGAAGTAGCAGATTCAGCTTCTAAGTCACTGAACTCACAAGGCCCAAGCCTAAAGATGAAACATCTATTTAGATTAACATCTTTCAGCAGGGGTGCATTATGGGGGAGAGGCTATGAGCCAAGGAGTGGGGAGTCAGGCCCCAGCCTTGCTAAGCCTCCTTTGCTCTCCACAGAGCATACAGCAAGAGCTACGTGAGAATGGACTGAGACGGCCGCAGAGCTGGGCTTCCCAGGGAAGCAGGGGAGGGCGTTTTATTCTGTGGTTTGCACATCCCAGCACTCAGAGCACCTGCCAGGAATGGCTCACGGCCTCCCGCACTAGTCTGCTCTCAGGATGACGAGCTGGAGAGCGGCTGCAGAGCCCAGAGACCTACTGGGTTGGCCTGTCCACGGAGACCTGTCCACGGAGGCCTGTCCACGGAGGCCTGTCCACGGAGACCTATCCACGGAGGCCTGTCCACGGAGACCTATCCACGGGATCTGGCCCCTGCTGCCTCCTCCTCCGGACAGAAGGGATGACTGAGCCCGGCACCTAGGAAACCAAGGGGCCACAAAAGCTCCTGCTGCCGGCACAGATGCATTATTTTTTATGTTTCTATGATTATCTGCCCTAGTTCAGTGTTGTTATTTGTTGATTTCAGGGAGGAAGGGAGAGAGAGAGAGAGAGAGAGAGAAACACCAATGATGAGAGAGAGTCATTGATTGGCTGCCTCTTGCACGTCCCCCATTGAGGGCATAGCCTGCAACCTGGGCCTGCGCCTTTGGCTGGAATGGAAGCTGGGACCCTTTAGCCCACAGGCCAACCCTCTGCCCACTGAGCCACACCAGCTAGGACTCGGTGTTTTGAGAGTTGACTGGCTAGTTCATGTCTGAGCCCTCCTAAAGGCTGTCTCAGGGTCTTGACACAATTTACGGTTTTTCTGTCACAGCATTCACATTCTCAGCAGTACTGTTTTCTTTTTTGGGCCTGGAATCGGGTTTTACACACAGTAGAGCAGGTAAAAACTTTAGGGCAGTGAGAGGCTAGCACTTGACACACAATCCGATCAGCTCAGTCAGAGTCCGTCCTGAGGTCAGAGGTCAGAGATCAGAGGTCAGCTCAGGGTGGGTGCTCGTGGACAGTGTCTGGACTCAGGGGTTGACCAGTAGTCCCAGGGAGTAGTCACTCTAGCAAGTTGTTTTAAATAAGTGTTTTGTTTTGTTTTGTTTTGTTTTGTTTTTAAAACCAAGTCCATCAAATAACACAAACTCAAGCTGATAAAATCTGCTGCCCTCAGACTCCGTCTCTGCTGGGCTGGGGGGAGGCCAGGAAACACCATCCACGTCTTCAGGCGGACTCCTGCCCGCAGTCCGCGCTGGCGTCTTCATTCGCTGCTGCCAATGCGGCTGCTACGTCTGAGGAGCCGTCTCCAGCCCCTTCGTCACCCGGCTCGGGGCCTTTCTCTTTACATCCTCGTGTCCTGGGCAGGGGTGTTGCCCTGTGAGCAGAGGAGGAAAGAGTGAATTGAGAGGAGAGTGGGAATACTGACACCAGCCATCTCCTCAGGGATGCCAGATCAGACAACAATAGCAACCGTAGTAGTAATAGTAATAATAATGCTATGTGCCTGATGCGTCTTTCACACGTGTCAGTTCAGTTGTTCTTCACAAAAGCAACATGACTCAGATACTTCCATTAGCTCTGTTTCATAGATTGGGCCTTTAAAGCACAGAGAGGTCAAGTGACTTCCCCTAGGTCACACAGCTGGCAAGCGGTGGAGTCAAGATTTAAACCCAAGGACCAGAGCTTAACCCCTCAACACTGAGGCAATGCCATCTCTTTGATGCCTGGCTTCCCACATCCTCCCTGCCCTGCTTCTTACCCACTAGCACATTCCCACTCACTGCTCAGTGTCTTTGTCAGCACAAAGATGGAAACTAACAGAAAGAACTGGAAAGCAAAGACTGACCCTGGCGGGAAGGCCAGGTAGCCAGCTGTGGATTGCGTGCTTGTGGGACCAGTGCTGTCAGCTCCCCCTGTGTTAGGAGCCCCGTGGGCCTCATCAGCATCAGGTTTCCAGGGGAGAAGCTGAGAGGCTTATGGCTGGATCCACAGTGCGAGGTGTTTGTGGCGTGGGCCATCCTCGTGGGCCGCACTGAGTGGAAGGTGTGGGAGGAGCCGGGGACGTTTGTCCCTGGGCAACCAGGGGTGCCCGTGGGGACCCGGAGGCGGTGGGCAGGCTCCAGGCTGGGTTCTGGGGCAGGGCCGGCAGGAGCTGGTGAGATGGCCATTGCCTATTGTGGAAGGGAAGGTGGGGAAGGATGGAGCCCTGGGCCCTGTCGTGGGGACGGGTAGAGGCTGGGGACGCCAGCTCTCAGCTTGCAGAGAAACATGCGCTCAGTTACCCAGAGACAGGGAGGTGTGGTGGGAGAGCAGGCATCGAGCTGGCCTTCGGAAGGTGAATGAGGGGCCGGTGCGCTGGGTGGACCTGGAGACCAGGACTCTGAGGAGCGCTGTGACTGTGGGGATGAGGAGGGAGGGATAACATGGGGTCTGGGCAGGGGTGAGGAGGAGAGACCAAAGACCCTCAATGGGGGGCTTAGTAAGACCCATGGACTGATTGCCTGTGGATGGGGCGGGGGTTGGGGTGGGATGGGAGTGGGAGGAGGGTGACAGAGGAAGGAGTCAGTACTTCAGCAGCAGAAACAGGGAAGGCTGGCAAAGGGGGCTGGGTTTCAGCTGAATATGCATAGAAAGTCTGTTGAGTGACAGATAAGTTTTGGTCTGGCAGTGCTGGGAGCGGGGACTAGATGGCCCAGTAAGAAGTCTGTGTGTGTGGTCAAACCCCTGTGGGAGCCAGGCTGCTGCTGAGCTGTTGGAAGTAGCCAGCAGGTGGCGGTGAGGCCCAGGCCCCGCAGTCATTCAGGGCCACTGCCTGGCAGTGGGAGCCAGAGGAGACACTGTGGACAGCACAGCGCATGGCCAAGCTCAGTAGGGGGGACTCTTTCCCACGACAGAGTGGGGAGGGGCTGGGCAGCCTCTCTGGACAGGCAGGAGGGGCAGATGGCAGAGGTGAGGGTGACAAGAACCAAGAGGCATTAGTCTTTGGTGGCTGGGAGGGCATTGGTGAGCTGCAGAGTCAGCGATCAGAGCAAGGTCGCCACGGAAATAAGAGGAACAGAGAGCATGGGGATGAGGTGAGGGCAGAGCTGAGGGGCTTTTCTTCAGGGGTAAGTGCCTACCGTCAATTCCAGCATATTGTAATCACAGGAGTTTTATCAAAAGGTTGGTGAAACTTGGGGCTCAACAAGGGCTGAGTCACATACCTGTATGTAATTACCTGTTGGAACGGCACTTCCCCCAAACCTGAATAGGATGATTGTTTACTGCCAGACAGCTCAGGGCATCTTAATCTACATGTTATTGCCCCCTGTTGGTCAAACACCTGAACAGCTGTAGGCTATTCCCCAATCTGACAGTGCCTCTGTAAACACTACCCTTTGAAGTTTGCCTTAGGACAAATTGTGCTAATAAAAAGCTAGGGTCCTGAGACAAGGAGATCCTTTAGCTCCTTTAGCTGAAGCTCCTCTGACCCCCAATGCCTTTCAAAATTATCTTTCATCTTTGGACTCGTACTTAATCTACGCACAGCCTTTCTCCAGATTGCTGAATCCTTCTTAAAACTGGGACAAGAACCCCAGAAGTTAGAGAGACTCTGCATGTTTGCAGGCAGAAAGGGGTGAGCCAATGAGGAGCAGGAAACAGAAGACCCACCACACCAGACGCTCTTAATCTAACCCCATTGCTTGCAGCGCACAGGTGTCCTGTGAAACAGCCAGGAAATGGCAGAGGTGGGGTGAGGGCCCAGAACAGTGGAGTCTGGAGTCCCTCCTATTGGGAGGATTCACTAGCAGAGCCACCTACCTCCTTCTCGGACACCTTGCTGCCGGTCCTGGGGTGGCAGCCTGGCTCCAGGACGGCCCCCTCCTCTTGCTTTTCCTTGTCAGTCCCCTCTGCGGGGGTGAGGCTGCCCTCCACACCTTCAGGGGGACTTTGGGGGCTCTCCTGCCCCCCAGATTTCTCTTCTAGCTGCTGCGTGTCCAGGCTCTGCTGTGCAGGCTCCCCTGCCCTGCTGGCCCTCTCCGCCTTTGCCGCTGCGGCCTCCTCCCTCTGCTCTGGGGCCTCCTCCCTCTGCTCTGGGGCTGGCCTTGCCTCCTCAGGGCTCCCGCACCCACTCTCTGCCTCTGAGCCGGGGGCCTCTGTGCTGGGGCCCTTGGGTGGTGGGGTGGCCTCCTCCTGGGCATCTGGGGCGGCCTTCTCAGGCAGCTGCTCCGGGGTGGCCTTCGCAGGGGCCGGGGCCTCCCCCTCCTGCTTGTCCGTCCTCTTCAGAGGGGGCCTCTCGTGGGACTCCAGGTTCCTGCTCCCGTCCCTTCCTGCCTCCTCGCTGGGCTGCGGGGAGCCTGGGGCCTTGTTCTTGGGCTGGAACACCTCGTCCCCGGCTTCTTCCTGGGCGCCATTCTCCTGGGACGACTCTGGGGCCCTGAAATCTCCCAGCTCCCCATATTCCGACTGAGACTTCCGGAACCGCCGTGACGGAGGGCGCCTCTTTATGGAGCCCCTCGTGCGCACCTGGAAGAAGATACAGAGGAAAATTACCCCAAGGAGAAAACTCAGGCTCCTCCGACGCCAGCCTCCTGCCTCGCGGCCGGCCCAGGGACACTGCTTTCCCGGAGAACCTTAGGCCAGCGCTGGGGGCTGTGACATCCCACAACCTCTCAGGAAGGTGCTGCCGAACCACCCAGTAAAAACATGTGGCCATGATTTTATTGCCCTATAAACAGTCATCGGTTTGGTGTCTAATTTAGCCATTTTATTCTAGCCTTTTTTTTTTCCCCCCCTAATTGCCTCTAAATAACCAGTTCTTCGAATGTTCTTTTTTTAAAAAAATTTTATTGTTGAGAGTATTACAAATGTCTTCCTTTTATTCTCCATTGCCCCCTCCACCAGTTTCTGTTGAGAATTCAGCTAACAGTATGAGTGCTCTCTTATTGGTAACTAACTGCTTTGCTCTTACTATCTTTATGATTCTTTGTCTTCAGCCTTTGCCATTTTAATTATGATGTGTCTTGGTGTGGGCCTCTATGGGTTCCCCTTGTTTGGGTCTCTCTGAACTTCCTGGACTTGTAAGTCTATTTCTTTCACCAGATAGGAGAAGTTTTCTGTCATTATTTCTTTAAATGTTTTTTAAAAAAAATATTTTATTGATTTTTTTACAGAGAGGAAGAGAGAGGGAGAGAGTTAGAAACATCAATTAGAGAGAATCATCAATCAGCTGCCTCTTGCACACCCCCTACTGGGGATGTGCCCGCAACCTAGGTACATGCCCTTGACCGGAATCGAACCCGGGACCTTTCAGTCCACAGGCCGACGCTCTATCCAATGAGCCAAACCGGTTCAGAATTTAAATGGGTTTTTAATCTCCTGCTTTCTCTCTTCTCCTTCATGATGTGAATGCTGGTAACTTGAAGTTGTCCCAGAGGCTCCTTACACTATCTACATTTTTTTATTCCTTTTTTTTTTTTTTTTTTTTTGCTCTTGTGATTGGGTGGTTTTTGCTTCCTCATATTCCAAATTGTTGATTTGATTATCAGCATCCTCTACTCTTCCGTGGATACCCTGTAAATTATTCTTCATTTCTGTTAGTGTAGGCTGGTCCTTTTTTCATGTCTTTGATGTTCTTACTAATTTACTTGAAATTCTCACTAAGGTATTGAAATTCTCACTAAGTTCTTTGAAGCTCTCATAAGATCCTTGAGCCTCCTTTTAACCATTGTTTTGAACTCTGTATCTAGTAGTTTGCTTGCTTCCATTTCATTGAGTTCTTTTTCCAGCGATTTCTTCTGCTCTTTCATTTGTGACATGGTTTTTTTGTCTCCGCATTTTGGCTGCTTCTCTATGCTTGTTTCTAAGTATTAGATAAAACTGCTATGGCTCCTGGAATTGGTAAAGTGGCCTTGTGTAGTAGGTGTTCGGTAGGGCCCAGTGGCTCAGCCTCCCCAGTCACCTGACCTGCACACTCTAGGTGACCCCTGTATGGGCTGTGTGCACTGTCTTGATGCAGTTGAACCTTGATCGCTGTTGGTGTCACTAGGAGGAATTCACCCCCAGGCCAATTGTGAGGATCAGCTACATCTACAGTGGAAGAGCTGCTGTGCAGGAGACACCCCTATGGAGCAGGACATGCTTCAATGGGGCTTTGATGATCACTGAGTCTTTCCCTCGAGTGTATCACTCATGGATGGATGTGTTGAGATGTAATCTGGTGTGGTCTGAAGCTGTCCACTAGGTGGACTGGCTCTGAGCCTCCCAGGAGGTGCAAAGTCAGACACTGCCTGGGGCCACAGATGGGTGTCAGAGCAGCCTGTTTCAGGCCTCTGCCCCTCCCACCAGTCTCAATGTGCTTTCTTCTTTAGTTCTCTCGTTGTAGGACTTCCATTCAGCCAGCTTTCAGGTGATTCTAAATGAAGATTGTTTTGTATTTTAACTGTGATTTTGATGTGGTTGTGGGAGCTGGTGAGTACACTGCCATCTTGGTCCCATCCCTCTTCTAATGTTCTTTGAATGGGCTTCACTATCTTGCAGGTTTCTTCATAAATTAAGGATAAAATTTATACCTGTTTTGAATGAGACATGTTTTACTATTTCGAAAATTATACTTTGACAAAAGTAAACCCAACAGAGAAGAGGGTTGGGGCCTGCTGGTGGCCCAGCCCTGTCACAGCGACCTCCGAGGGGCAGAGCTGAGCAGTTGGTGACCAGTTTCCTCCCCTCTCCCAGCTCAGCCGTTCCTGTCCACACAAGGCTGTGTGACCCTGGGAGAGCTGAGCTGCCAGGCCTTTCCTTTCTGGGCGTCAGGCTCCCCATGCCAAGAGTTGTGTCTCAGGAGCGCCCAGCAGAGGGGGTGCAGGTCCTTTCCTGCCCGGGAAGCATGTGGACCTGAGAGTCAGGACTCACCATGGCCCTCCGGACTTTGTCAGAAGTTCCCTGGAGCCCTAGCCAGTTTGGCTCAGTGTATAAAGCATTGGCCTGCGGATTGAAGGGTCCCAGGTTCGATTCCGGTCAAGGGCATGTACCTTGGTTGCAGGCACATTCCCAGTAGGAGGTGTGCAGGAGACAGCTGATGGATGTTTCTCTCTCATTGATGTTTTTAACTATCCATCTCCCTTCCTCTCTGTAAGAAATCAATAAAATATATAAAATATAAAAAATAAAAAAAGTTCCCTGGAAATGCTTATGCCTGACTTCACTCAAGGGATGCGTCCTTTAATGATGTCAACTGAACCTTATTTTCATAGTTTGTTTTCCTACTACTTTCATTATTGGAAGTGGTCAATCCTAATTCCATCTGTGGGTTTGGAATGAATGCTGTGGGTTAGAAGGCTTCCCGGGCCTGTCCCGAGACCACAGGAGGCAGCCCTGCAGGGGATCAGGGCCCAGCCCTCAGGTGAGTGCAGCATGGCTGCCCATCGGAGGGAATTTCAAAGAGAAAGGACAAAATGACCCCACCTGTTTCTGCACACTTGACCTTTTCCCCAGATAGGTTTTCTAGAACGGCCCAGAAGGTGCCTCTCCCTCCATTCATAATTCCAAAGTCACCCCCGATGCCATTCTCTGGCGTTAGCCCCTGCCTGGCTCCGCCCACATTTGTTGGGCACCTGCTTGCACTGTGTCTCTGAAACTTCCCACCTCTTGGTAGGGCCCGGGACCCAGTGAAAGAGACACAGAGTGTGGGGCAGCATCTATGGAAACAGCTGGCCTCACGGCTTTTGGTAGAGGGACCAGTTTGGATGGTCTTTAACTGGGGCGAGAATTCTTACCGAGGGAGCAATGTTTTGAGCCCATACTGGGCCCTTGGGAGTAGTCACACCAGGCCGGTGCAGGGGGCTTTCCCGTCCTAGCGACCCTGCCCAGCCTTCTGCACACGTTACTGGCCAGGCCTTTAGCTTTGGTTTTCAGCTTTGACATAAGTCTGTGAGGTGGGCTCAGTCCGAAGTTCCCACCCTCCTTCCACCGAGGACAGTGCTCGCCACCCCCAAGCCTGCCTTTCCGGTGCCGGTTTCAGGGGGAGGAGACAGGCAGGCAGGGAGAGGGCTGACCCTGGCCCAGGGACGCTTCCCCCTGTTAATAAGCAGCCCTGACCACAGCTCCAATGTGTCCTCCTCTCTCCGGGACAGCCACAGGGTGGAACCTCAGAGTTGACGGACCACGGACTCTGGACCCAGACAGTACCTTGTTGTAACAGGGCAGGTGGCTGCCCTCCGGAGGCTGGTCGAAGCTGATGGGCACCTCCTCTGGCTTGCTGGCCCGAGAGCACACGCCGGGGCTGGTGGGAGTGGAAGGCGGGCTGTGAAACGGGGACACCACGGCCTTGAGGCCGGGGCTCTTGGGCGAGGCCCCGGGCAGCAGGGCGGCGGGATCGAAGGCGAGGTTGGCCTGTTGGGAGGAGACGAGACGTTTCAGATCGGGGCGGGAGAAGCTGAGTTTCTGCTCCAGCCCATTGGTTACCTGGGACTCTAAAGAGGTGGTGGCAGCGATTTTGTGCCCAGGGGATAATTGGCACTGTCTGGAGACATTTGTTGCTGTCACCACTCGCGGGAAAGTGCTACTGGCATCTGGTGGAAAGGGCCCAGGGAGCTGCCAAGCATCTTTGAATGCACAGGGCAGCCCCACCCGCGCAGGACAATGACCCAGCCCAGCAAGGCCATGGCGAGGAGCCCTGGTCTGGGCGGGAGGAGCAGGCGGTTACAATGGAGATCTCTGGCATTTATCCTCCTACACGTCCTTTGCTGCATCGCAGGGGGAAATCTGGCCTCCCAACAAGACTATGAGCTCCACGGCCCCCACGTATGCTTCATTTACTTCCCAGGGAGGTCTGCTCAGCTGTGGGCACACTGTGACGGGTGGAGGGGTTAAGCCATCCCAGGGCCAGCAGCCGCATTTCGGCCTGTGTGAGGCTGGCATGGCTGGTGGCTGCCTTCAGGCCTCCGGAGAGAGGGCCGTGGTTCCTGGGGTGCTTCCTGCACTATGATGCCCTTTGCCTGGAGGACTACTGCGGTGCCCCATTACCCATCGCCACCGCTAGGTGTCAGCACCTGAGCGCATGCTTGACAGGGACCTTATTTGGGCCCTTTGGCTCCCGGCAGAGCCCTCTTTCTTCAGGGCCGTGTGGTCACTGGCTGGTGGTCAGAGGTCAGCTCTCCAGGGACACGGGGACCTGCAGATGTTGGGGAAGTGGGGGTGGGGGGGCTGGAGGGAGAGGTTAGGATGGGCAGCCATGCTGCACTCACCTGAAGCTTTTCGATCAGAGGCGAGCTCTTCACCTTCACCTTGGGGAGGTGGCTTGTGTGGGGTGATTTCTGCAGAGCAAAGGGACCAGAACAACCGAATGAGTAGGTGAGGGAGCCCAGAAGCTGTGGGTGGAGGAGGAGGAGGAGGACGCGTTGATTTCACTCAGCTTTGGAGGCCCCCATTCCTCCCCAGGGCCCTGGTGAGGCGGACTCCTCCCTCCTCCCCCTCCCCCCCCGCCTCCCACCCCCCAATCTCTCCCCTAGCAGGATCAGAACAGGCAGGACAGACGCCCAAACACAGGAGGTCTCCTGTACCAGCATGATGATCTCATGCTCATTTGGAGGGAACAGACGGTGTGTGAGAGGGGACTTCTCTGTACTTCATGACAGTCAACAACACTCGGAGGGAATTTCAAAGAGAAAGGACAAAATGACCCCATCCCATTGGTCACAGGGAAATAAGAAACCACAGGCCAGGAGTGAAACCTGCCAGAGGTATTTTGGAAATTCCCCCCTTGAACTAGTGGTATTCTGGAAAATCCCACAAAAAAGTTATTATTTTCCAAAGCACTGAGTATTCATTTTGGTGAACAGACATTTATGGAACATGCACCACGTTCCAGGCCTTATGCTGGTTGCATGAAGTTGCACTGTTTGGGTGAAGATATTTTTGTGATGAATGGAGGTAGAAATCTTATCTTGCTTTGATTCGATGTTAGCCAAAAGGACGAACTCCTTTCTGTTTTGTGCAAAATCCCTACCACTGAGTCTGGTTCCACAGACAGATTCCTCCTCACTCGTAGGAATGATGGCGATGATGATGAAGAAGAAAAGTGAAGGAAGGAGGAGGAGGAGGAGGAGGAGACATTTCATGTTGGAAAGAGGCCGAGCAGATATAAGGGGCCCAACACCTAGTCTGCACCCCTCACCCCCATGTTCTAATTTTTCTGCATCATAGGAAGAATCACACCAGCCCCTAGAATGTTCTGAGGTCTGTACTGAGTGAGATGGCTGTATTTCAGTGAAGGAAGGAGGAGACGGACTCTGAGCTCCTGGGACCTTGGTAAGGCCCAGCGTTCAGGGGAGGGGCAATGAGGGACAGTCACTGGCCGGGACCCAGGAGGCCCCGCCCCCTCATTCTGCTTCAGACCGGAGCAGGGGCTGCCCGCCTCAGCCTCCTCGGCCAGGCCCAACAGCAGGTGGAGTCAGTGAGTCTAAGGGCTCCACCCTCCAGCCCCAGGGTGCCCCTGGCCCCTGACTTCACACCCAGATGAGCGGTCTTTCAAGGAACTCGTGTCCAATGGTGAGTACAAGAGCTTCTAGCCCAGGCTGTGCTGTCCTCAGTCTGTGCTTTAAGGTGACATTTCCCAGGGGCCAGTGTTTCTGAAGATGCTGTGGTAGAAATGGCAGCTATGATGCTGCTGGCAAAGCTCCCCTTACGTGGTACTGGGAACCCTCCTCCTCCCCAGCTGACCACTGCCTTCTGAAGGGAGCGGAGATTTAATAACCTGGCCCCTTTGCCATAGCACAGCCTGGGAACCCAGATAAGGATCCACAAAATCCTTGTTGATGTGAACTGAACTGCAAAGCAGGGTCCTATATAGCCACTAACGCAGGACCAAGTACCCTTGAAAGACCGCTCTAGAAATATATCTGCCACAAATGCAGTTCCTGCGAACGGCAGCAGGGGGCAGCATTTCCTTTACTATTTACTCCAGGCAAGCCCTTGGGGAAGGGCAGAGGGGAGGTGGTGGTGGAGAAAAGCCAGGGTCCTCCCTCAATATGGGTGTTTCTATGTCCGTATTGGACATTCTGGTGATGTCTAGAAGTCAGGGATCTGATCATTCGGGTGGAAGTGTTTTCAGCCCTTCTCTGGGCAGACTAGGCAGGGTCTGAGGACACATGAAGACACCCTTTGGCTGGTCCTTCGGGGGGGTGGGTAACCCCATGGCCTCAGGCCTGTGCAGGCACAGGGAGAGGCGGGGGTGTGAGAAGTGCAAGACCTTCTCTGCACTGCACACTAGGAACCGAGGGCCCACTAGGTCCTGCCTTCCTGCCTGAGCCTCCATCTCCGGCGTGGCCTATGACACCAGGGCCTCCCTGTGTTGGTAACGTGGGCGGTTTCTCTATGATCCAGAGCAGTGGCCTGTTGGGGTTCCCACGGTGCCGTTCTGCCTGAGGTTAAGCACAGCCCTCCCTGCAGGTGCCTCTCTGCAGGGAGGACCGTGTAGGTCAGACCTGGGCGAGAGCATGTCCCTCAGGGCCCTTGGGTGGGGGTGGGGATTGAAACCACGGGGCCTACTCTCTTTGCTGAAATTCCCAGGCTTGGAAAACAGCCTCCCTGCCCCTGGCCAATCACAAACGGGGCTCCGTAGGGGGGCACGGACCACGCCTCATGGTCAGACAAGGATGCAGGAAGTTCATTCCTGAGTCTACAATGGGGGCCTTGTCTGCCCAGGTGTCTAAGTGTGATGATTTTGGCCCCCTTTCTATGAGAAGGAGGAAGACAACATACCCAGTGCCTCCCAGCACTTACCTCCTCTCCGTTCTGGCCCAGCTCTACCTTGGGGGGGAACAGGGGGAGGGAGCAGGGCGGCTTCCTCCTGGCAGGCTTACTGGCTGGCATCTGGAGGGCGGGAGGATGATGGACAGACACACAGAGAAAGAGAGCGAGTCAGGCCACAGGGAGGAGGAGGAAGGACGTGGAGGTGGTCTTAGGGATGGCAGGGAGGAGGACAGGATGGAGGCAGGGTGGTGTGTCTTTGAGACTGGCATTAGCTGGATCAGAATTCCCTGTCCCCGCCACCCACATGCCGTCAGCCCGGCTCCTGTCCCTCCAGGCTGCGGGCCTCCCGCTGCAGCCACTGGCCTGAAATCACCCACGTCCAGCCCCGGGCGCCGCCAGCACCTCTGACCAGTACCATCTTCCTGCCCCGAATGCCATCCCCATGTGTGTGTAGAAACGATGGGCGGGTTTTTCAGACCAGAAAATAAAAGCACAAAGTAACAGCCTGAGGCGTGCGCTCTCGTTGGCCCCACGGGCCCTGTGGCCTCCTGACTCGGCCGCCCCTCCCCTGAGACCGGGCGCTCAGGAAAACCTAGTTTGAATCTCCACCTGGCGACACTTTCCCACACTGTCCTCTCCAGCGGGAATTCTTCGAGAACCCATTGGCCACGGGGTCCCTTCCCTCTCCTGACCCTGGTTTCCTGCTTCCCAGCTGGGATTCCTAAGCTCCAGGCAGGAGTCAGCCCGGAGGTCCTTATTCTGAGCCAGCCTAGGCCTGGCACAGCCTGGCACATGACGAGGTCTCTATCAGGGGCTGATGGAGGCGGCCTGGGGCCCAGACCCCACTCTGCTGGCCTGCGGGTGGCTCTGGCCCAGCTCCCCCGCCCTGGGCGGAGGCCCCGCCGCTGCTGGGAGATCCTGCCCGGCCCCGCAGTGGCCATGGCATTCCTCACATGCAGGGGACCCTCGGTGGCTTCTCTTCCTAATTTGGTAATTACCACGCTCCCTCCCTCCCTCCCTCCCTCCCTCCCTCCCTCCCTCCCTCTGCGCCTGACCCAGACTTCCCTGTCCGCCAGCCCCCTCCCAGAGCTGGGCTGTGCTGCCGGGCTCACCTCCTTCGCCGCAGCCTGCTCCCTGAACCGCCCGGCCAGCTGGGCCACCGAGGGGGACGCCGAGCTGTCCACGTTGGCGTTGGTCTCCGCGGGTCTCTCCTGGCAAAACAAGGGGAAGCGGCAGTGAACGGGAGCCGGGCGCCGGCTCAGCCCAGCATCCACGCCGGGGCCGTGTCCGGGCCACGCCGCACCTGCTGTGGCCGCGGGCAGAGGTGGTGACAGTGACATCTTCGTTCGAACCGCCTTGTGCCATCAGCTCCCACATGCAAAGATGGAAACAACAACACTCAGTCCACCACATGTAGTGGATGTTTCAGATGTGTGGGGCCCTGGGTGGCTCCGGGGAGCTTAGGGAAACAAAGCCGGGCCCTGTCCTGAGGGTGCCCGGGGGCCGGGGGGCAGACGTGCCTTCACTCTGTGTGTCCCTGGCAGCCTGGCCGGAGCGGGCTGTGGAAGGGGGGCCGGGGCAGGCCCTAGAGAGAGGGGCCTTTACATGTATGAAAAGGTGATCAGTGCCCTCCGCTGAGCATCTCACGCATGCATGGCCTCGTCCCCCACTTCACCAAGTGTGCGGGGGTGACGTGCTCAGTAATTAATTTTTTTAAATTTATTTTTAATTTTTTAATTTTTTTTTAGAGAGGAGGAGAGAGGGATAGAGAGCTAGAAACGTCGAAGAGAGAGAAACATCGACCAGCTGCCTCTTGCACATCCCCTACCGAGGATGTGCCCGCAACCAATGTACATGCCCTTGACGGGAATCGAACCTCGGACCTTTCAGTTCGCAGACCGAAGCTCTACCACTGAGCCAAACTGGTTTCGGCACTCAGAAATTAATTAATAAACGCCCAGCGCGGCCGCAGCCTGGCGGAGAGGCCTGTGTGCTGCCCGCGCACTGGCTGCGGGCACGGCCTTCGCCTTCGCGCCGTGACGAGGACGCTGGCAGCGCAGCCCCGGAGGGTCTGTGGACGGAACGCTTTCCTGTGGGAAGGGCAGGACTGGCCTCTGGAAGGTCGTCACCACTTCAGGCCCTTCCCGGGGCCCTCAGCGAGGCCGGTGGGGGGTGGGGGCTGTGTGCCATGCCACTCCCTCCACAGAGTCCTCACTGGGAGACACCCCCCCCCCCCCACCGTGTTCCTTTCCATGGGGGAAGCAGGCCGGTCCCTGCCCTGCTCTGCCCCAGGGAGGCCCTCGGGTTACAGTGACCGCCCCCCCACAGGAGCCTGGGGTGCACCTGGACTCGGCTCACTCCATGGGCTAATTGTCACAGACACGGGGTGAGTCTGGGCGCTGGACAGGCCACCCCACGTCTGTGAGGTCACACAGCCACCTGGTTTTAATCATGTTTGTAACGTCTGGTCTCAGAGACACAGGCCTTTTTGTGATCAGGACGATGGCATTTACTGCACAGACGTCAGACTCCCTCCTGCAGGCTGCTGCCCAGACACAGCCTTTGGCCAGCTCTGTCTTCCCTGCCTGGCTCATGGCTACCCCTCAGCACAGGTCTGCCTCCCCGTGTACCACACACACACACACACACACACACATGTGCATGCATGCGCACACAGACACACAGTCATGCATACGCACACACATACATGCACACACAAACAGGTGTGCACACACACATGTTCACACATGCACGCACACACACAGGTATGCACACACACACTTCCTAGGCCCTCTTTTTATGCTAAAAGCCTCTCCACGCCTTCGATCTGGGTGTCCCTCCAAAGTGAACGTGAGGGGGCCTGCTCTGGTGCCGCCTCGGGGCGCAGGAGCAGATGCCCCCCACTGAGCTCCCGCAGTGCCGCTGAGCAAGCGGGACCAGGCTTGTTCAGAGACGGGGAAACTGCGGGGCCATGGCTGTCAGACCGGGGAGCGGGCTCTGAGAAGAGATGGTCCTCCTCCTGTGTCCCGCTCCAGTTCAAGTTCACCCGTCCCAGCCTGAACAGCAAACCCGACACGAAGGGAGTCACCTCCAGTGCAGACACCCAAGTCCCCAGCACACGGAGGGCGGGGAGTCCCGGCCTGGGTGGGGCGGGGGACAGAGCTCTCGGGACGCACCGTGAGCACTGTGAGCACTCCCGCGTTAGGAGCACCAGGAGGCAAACACCCCATCCCGCAACAAGGCGGCCTGCGGGACGGTGAGGCTGGCTGAGCCGCTCCTGGCACAGCCGCCCATCCGCCTGTGCATCTGCCTAGCTTCCTGCCCACATCACGATCAGCCTCTGTCTGTGCTATTTATTGCTCGGATCCTGCTGACCGTGCACCTCGCTGTGGCTCCAGGCGCCCGGGGCTGCGGTGCAGGGAGACACATTCCAGATAAAAATAGAGCCAAGGGATCAAAGGCCTCCGGACTTCCCTGTCCCCAAGGGGGCTGGGCGAGGGGCTTGGAGGACTGGAGGCTTCTGGAAGCATTTAAGGCTTAAAGAAAGAAAGAAAGAAAGATTACAGTTCGTCCGCGTGTGCTTTCCCGGAGCCCAGTGAGTGGGCTTTCTTCAGAATGTCTGCAGATCCCAGAGATGGCTGGCGCCCAGCAAGCCCACTCTCCAGGCCCTGCTCCGTCATTGTATGGAGGACTAGTATTGCCTGCTCACAGCGGGGCTCATTGCAGCCCAGAGAGGGCAAGTGCCTTAGGCAGAGTCACACAGGAAAACCAGACGGAATCCTCTATGAAATAATGGGCTTCAACCCCTGACAGCCTAGGAATGCATACCAGTTAAGCAGTGTGATTGCTGAAGGTGCTTTGCAAACTGTAAAGTGCTATACACCTAGTGAAACTATAGCTGCTGGGTTGACTGGCACAGCAAGAGAAGTCTGGAGGGGTTGGAGGGGCAGGGGTGTCGGTAAGGGGGAGGGCAGGGGAGCAGAGCTCAGCTTGTGTGAGGCTCTGCCTGGATTTCTGCCTGGCAGTTCCTACAGGTGTGATTTCTAACTCCCAGGGTCCCAGGACACCCCACCTGGGCCCCAGGTTCCAGGGCACCCAGGCCTGAGGTCTCAGGGCCCACTAACCCGGCCCCAGGCTGGCCAGCTAAGGTGTTGGGAGCTCGCTCAGTCCTGAGATGGTTTGCTAAGCACTGCCCTCACCTGGCCTGGGCTCTCGGTTCAGAGAAGGATTTGGTGTTCCCGCCTTGCCCTGGACTTTCTTGGGGCCCCTGAGCCTCCCCAGGACTCGGCATTCCTTCCCAGCTCCTAAGAGGCCCATCAAGCATCTCACACAAAGCCCAGGGTGTGGCAAGTCCTCACCGAGTGCACGGAGCAGAAGGGCCCAGGGTGGACCCTGAAGCACCTGCTTGGGATGGAAGCAGACGAACCTGGTTTGAAGCTCGAGTGAGGATGAGCCTACGCGCAGGCCGAGAGCGAGGCCGCATGGACCCGGAGGGCTGCTGGGCGTGCCGCCCCTCCACTGGGCTGCGGCTGCTCATCTGCTTCTCCCCTCCTCCCTCCACCCTCCTTCCACCGTGGAGCGCAGAGGCGGAGGGCGGATCAGCCTGGTCAGACAGGCAGCCTCTGGACAGCTCGGCTTTTTAAAATTTGTTTTAAAATATATTTTTATTGATTTCAGAGAGGAAGGGAAAGGGAAAGAGATAGAAGCATCAATGACGAGAGAGAATCATTGATTGGCTGCTTCCTGCACGTCCCTCTTGGGGTTCGAGCCCACAGCTTAGGCATGTGTTCTGACATGTGACTTGATTCATAGGCCTGTGCCAGGGGGCGGCAAACTCATTAGTCAACAGAGCCAAATATCAACCAATACAATGACTGAAATTTCTTTTGAGAGCCAAATTTTTTAAACTTAAGCTATATAGGTAGGTACATTGTTATCAACTTAATTAGGGTCCTCCTAAGCTGGCCTTTGCTAAAAACTCAAGGGACCAAAGAGCTGCATGTGGCTCGAGAGCCACAGTTTGCTGACTAGGGGCCTACGCTCAACGGAGCCACACCAGCTGGGCTAGGCTTATTTACTTATTTAGGGAAAAGAGGAGAGTGTGGAAGGTGCCTCTGTGTGGCTGGTAGGTGATGGAGACGGGCTGGCTCTGAGGCCAGCAGGTAAACCGACCCTTCATTGCTCTTCAGGGTCAGTGCAGGGCTCCCTGTCATGCGCTCCTCTCACGTAGGTCAGTCCCATAAGAAGCCTGGTACCACTGAAGGCCCCTGTGAGTCCGAGGGGTGGGCTGGGCTCAGGGAGCCACTGCACCAGGGCTGCCGGAGTCCTGGGGGCTGTGGTGACTGCCCAGAGGCCCCAGAGGAATCCCCGTCAGGAGGGGCCATTTCTGCTTCCTGAGTGGGCGTGGCTGTCCTGAGGTCTGTGTCCTTCAGGCCACCGCAGAAAGCTGAGGCCTAACTTCTAAGATTAGAACAAGTTGCCCAAGGACCTGGGCCAGCCTCCCAGTCAGCTGCGGGCTCTCCGGTTACAATGGCTCCCATGCCTGCCCTCCCTCCCCAGGTCCACGCTCAGATGGTCTACTAAGGCCTGTGCTCCTGGACACGGCTTCACGCTGCCTCCAGAAGCCAGAGCACTTGGGAGGCCATAGTTTGGCTTCAAAAGGCACCCATCACATTTAGTAACAGCAAGACCAACAACCCAAGAGAAAAACGGGCAAAGAACAGAGACTTCATGAAAGAAGATAATAGGAATGGCTCAGAGGCACACTGGTCATTAGCTAAACACACATTAAGGCTGCAAAGAGATACCACTACCTGCCCACAAGAATGGCAACAGTGAAATAAACTGACAGCACCAAGTGTTGGCAAGCCTGCAGGGCAACTGGAATGCTCACGCGTTGTTGGTGGGAACACTACTTGGAAAAATATTGTGGCAGCTTCTCATTAGGGTAAATACACACCAAGCAATTAACCCAGAAATCCCACCCCTTGGTATCTGTGCAAGAGAGGAAGACATATGTCTCCATACAGACTTGTATGCATGGAAAACCAAGATGGTGGTGTAGGTAAACGTGGTACTTGCTGACTCGCACAACATCAAAATTACAACTAACATACAGAATAACCATCATCCAAACCACTGAAATCTGGTTGAACAGAAGTGCTATAATTAGAGTAGTAAAGAAGAAAGCACATCAATACCAGTGGAAGGG